TGTGCACACCTGCCGTGAAAATTTTTCATCAAAATTTTCTCATTTACTTGAGAAAGGAACTTATTATCTCACTCCTCAATATGAAATTTTTCAATCATCAACCCCAGCAAATATTTTTCTGATTAATTGTTCAAGGTATTCCTATCATTAATTATACTTCCATTTGAATTATAATTATGACGGTGATTCTGAAAATTGTCTAAATCAAAAATTTAAAAAACTTTGCGTCCCTCATTTTGTGTTGCATCAATCTTCTTATAGAAACAAGTACTTTGTGAAATATTTTTTAATACACCCAAAAGAGAAAGTCTAAACATCTCGAAACAAGAAACATAATATAACTTAGAAACAATTAATTCAGACAAGCAAAAATATATTCGTCTAAAAAAAAAGAAAAATCAACTCGATTCTCTGAAACAAAACTTTTAGCAGTTAGATTTCGAAAGCTCAAATGAAAGGACGATAAGGATAATGTGTGCAGAAAGTTCAGGTGTAACCAGAGGTTCTCGCCTTATCCACGGCCAGTGGGACTAGTACAGAAACCAACAGAGGACTCGCCATCCCCGGCATCTTTACCTCTGCCGCATGCTCCTTCGACCACGACCCTCTATTCTGCACCCCCGAGCGTCGCCTTGACGTCGCAGCCGCCCCTTCTTCAGATACTAACGTCCGCGGAGCAGTGTCAGGTAAGTAATTCAGCTCAATTTACCCGAGCTCGGTGTAAATTACCCCTTTGCAAACTTTATAACCGACAAATCCAACCATTTTCACGCGGTCCGGCCGCCTGCAACCGAGCAACCATAGATACGCTCCCGTCGTACAGGCTGTCCTCGTTTAGGAGGATTTGTTTTATTCTTGCTAAGTTAACTTTCTGATCATGTAGAAGCAATTTTGAGAGATATTTCACGTATTTTTGATGGAAAAGTGAAAAGAATACTGATAAGAAACTTAAAGGTAATATTTATTACTTTTTAATAAAGCAATCCTAGTGTTATTTTAATTTTTCTTTCATGGTTAAGAGAATTATTAACGTTAGTGATTGGTAATTTTTGTAAGGAATAGTTTGCAATTAAAAATTTGGGAAGTTATGTTGGGTATTTTGTAAAATAAATTGTTACAAATTTAATTTGTAATATGATGTGATTTTACATTGTTAGTGCATATTGAGTATTTAATATTCGTCTTTGGAATGGGTATTTCATTTTTTGTAAAATATTGCAACGTAACGATTTTTAAATTATTATCAGTGTTTTCCTAATATTTTAAGTATGAATTTTTATTATCGATTGTAAGGAACTCGTATGGAACGCACCGCTACAATCGGAAACGGAATATTCCTTAGAACAAACGGAAGGAAGTCACAATTCTACGGGGACCTTACCAAATCTCAATCCCACGCGAGAACTATTACAGGTAATAAATTATGCAAAATTATCATCTAAAAAAATTCACATAATTCATCTAACTTGTAAATAGATACCTTATTATTCACGAATACGCGTCTATTCTCCTAATTTTAATTTTAGTAATAAATTTATCACACAAGAAATAAGAAATCGCCATATTTCAAGATATAATTTAATATAATATCAAATATTATTTGAATGGAATATTAAAAATAATGCAAATGTTAAACTAATAAAACGTTTCACCCGTGAAACCAAATTCATTTATATATTTCAGGAGACTACTGCGCGTCTACTTTTTATGGCTGTAAGGTGGGTTTGCTGTTTACCGCTGTTCCAGTCACTTTCGGAGAACGATCAATTATTATTACTCGAAGGATCCTGGACGCAACTTTTCCTTCTTCATCTAGCGCAATGGTCCACATCTTGGAATATTTCTAACTTATTAGAGGACGAACAGATACGCGCAAGATTACCGGATGAAGCAGCAACAAGTCGACAACTAATTACTATTCAGGTGATTACTCTGATGTATAAATTACAATCGAAATGGAATATCAAATATTTGAAGAAAAACGCCTGTTAAGCTTACTTCAACAATTTCTAAAGGAAAAATTATTTTTTTAATTTCTAAGTTCGATTCTATAAAAAGAATTGATATTTATTTTAATACTTATGGTAGAATCGAAAAGAGAAACTTTTGCAATTTCAAACTGTAGAGTAAAACAAGTGAATTATTTCAAAATATAATTATATACGCTTTTGCATATGATATTTGCGTTTCAGGACACAATATGCCGTTTCAGACAACTCTTGCCCGACATGAGTGAATGGGGATGCATGAAAGCAGTTGCATTGTTTACTCCAGGTAACATAAAATTCTATAAACATATTTTGCACGAAGTACAATCTTCTTTTATCACTTATAACATAAAATAATTAAACCAGAGAATTCGGGATTCTTTCAATAAAATTAAACGTTTG